GCGCCAACACCTCCCCTTGCTAGCTTTACTAGCGGGGTTGGGTGGGTCTTTGGGGGTGACACGGATGGCGTAAGATGCTGAAGAAAGAACGTGGCTGTACAATCAACTACGAGGCAAACGAAATGGTAGCGGAGCAAACGAAACTGGGACGAACTCTGAAAGAACCATGAAACGGAGGCGGCCATCAGTGTCTACTGAATTATGAATTTTCTCGTACGAACGTGTGCAAGTTCAATTTGAACCAGGGAAGGCAACTTCATCAAAGTCTTTTTACGAAAGAGGCAATATCGAACATGTTGGGTAAATTTGTCCCGCTTCTTGGCGTCGACTTCACTGGCCATGGTTGCTTGATGCAAAAGGCGGGTATATCAGGTGGGACTATCTCATTGTGGAATGGCGGTTCATGTGGGATCATGAGTATCAGGTCTTGAAGATATTGGCATGTCTCCTGTGGGTTGGTAGTCGTGGCCTACGAGAGATGCCTGATTCATGGTAGGCTTGCAGAGCCTAGCCTAGCGGAGGCAAGAAAGAGCCTTGTTTTCTTCGTAAACCGGGAATCTCTTGGTGCGAGATTTTCTGTCGGCGAAAGCTTTCGGCAAGTACTCGGAGCGAGCCTTTTCTTTACGCATTTGCACACCCTGGGGCAAGTTGGTAGTCTACTGCCATCATGTGATTGGCCATCTGAAATCTTAATTGGCAAGTAACGACCGGCCCAAAGCATGAAGGAGACTGCAAGTTCTGCCCATGAAATTCCTGCCTCTGTCGGTGTGGCGGGAGTCAAAGGTGCCGGCCACTGCAATGTGATGTTAACGCCCCAGGTACAAGACCAGAAAACCACGCGGTGTGGTTCGGCTGGTAGGGGGAATACTTCCCCAGGGAAGCTCCACTCCTTTAATTTTGCAATATGCAATTTGAATTGATTATTCTCCCTATGTGGTTGTTGGGAATCTTGGCCGTCTGGAGGAACCCCATTTGGATTGACAAACCTCTTCACAGGGGGGAGTTGTCAATCAAGAGTCTACAGTCTACATGGGTGACATATGATGGGCATCGTCAACATCTGTTTCCTTCGAAGAGCCTCCCAGAACTGAAAAAAACAGCCATGACTCATGACACTCCTCATAATCCTCTCTTCGTGTTCCCTCCACAAACTTGCCACCCTCGGGAAAACCGCTTCTGACGGGAGACGGTCCCATCTGTCTTGGAGTTCGGTCGTAGGACCTCGGACCCCTTCGTTTTCGGCAGGGTAAACAGGACTTGGACTACTGCAAAACATCCTTTACTTCACTAAGGGCCTTTGTCTCTGAGTTAGTGTTGCGCCTGAGTTAGTGTTATTATTGTGATGTCGACCTTAGAATTTTGCATTAGCCGTCTACATAAAGTTTGTGGTGCACTCCACATCCTTCCAACACAAGTCTACGCCGTCTACGCGCGGGCGGGAAGCCCGTGCTCTCCGCCTCTCGTAGCAAAAGGCGTAGCTGCAAAGCAACAATGCGGCTCTCCTGCTTGCGGCGCATGTCAAAATTTGGGAGACATCATGAGACATCTAGGTGGCGCAAGGAGTGGTGCCATAATGATCTGTCTTCCAATTGCCGGTGTTTCATACTGTGTGTGCACTAGCTTCAATAGGAACTTCAATAGGACACCAGCAGCTCTCTTCAGACTCCGCTGGAAAAAAAAAGAATAAACAAACTCGCACCGGTCCCAGGTGGCAGCATCATACTGCAGGCCATGCTCATAGGCCACAGGGTTTCCCAAGTAGACGTCCCCCGGCCGCTGTGGCTCGTCCACCACTTTCTCCGACAAATCGAAGGGGTCGCGCAGGCGCAGGTGAAGCGTTCGCCGGCCGTGAAGGGACACCTCAAACACCATGGGACACCGACCAGTTGACCTCATGACCCAGAAGGTCGTTTGCTACATGCCGGAGCAGGGCTCCAGGTTTTGACCTATCCCCAATATCAAAGACCAAGGCAGAGGTGGTGGGCGAAATCATGCCCCAGTTGAAAGGCTCAACGGTGGCTGCGGTCGTCCCGGTATTTGGGATTCGCCACTTGTGTCAGGTCCTACGTCTGAGACCACCTCCCAAAACACCCAGGCCGACGCCCACCCGCCAAACAAGCCACGGAGAAAAACAGTACGAGTAGTACAATTAACACCGTTGAATCGGAGTGCTTTTTGGGGGAGTGAAACATTCCTGGGCTTTTCGAACGCGAAATCTGAGCTGAGCGGCTGCCATATGAAGAGCTGAGTTGGGGGCATCAATGTGCCACTGGACATCATTGGGTCCCACCGCCTCGCCCCAATGGATTTGCACGGCCACATTTCCAAAGGCACGACCGTCACGCAGGGCTGCTTGGAGAAGGGAACCTTTCGAGTTGCGCCAAGAGCGTGTTTCTGTTTGGAGAAGCTACTGCAAAATGTGCAAAATGTGAAATAGGTATGTCTTGGTGCCTCGAGCAAGAAAGTCTTGCTCGTGAAGCAGGGTTCGTGGACGTAAATCTGTGATCCGCCCAGCTACAAGCCATTACATAGCATTCAGATTCTGTGGGAGTCAGAACTACTCAGAACTCCATAGAAGTCCACGTTACAGTCTCTGCCCTATGAAGACGATGGAAGACGTCCAAGTATGTATCAAACATCTGTAGGCCAACAACGCCTAGATGCTCGATGCAAATCTTCACCATATTCATCACTATATGGCTCATCTCGTGAAATGTCTCATAGTCTGTCTCCGGTCCTCCTAATCAGTTCCAAGCTTGACTCAATTATAATTACTCAATTTCAATAAGACATCGGATATCTGATCCGTTCCGTGTAGCCGAACACCGCGCCTTCCGGGCATCCCTCGGCCAGCTCGCGCAGCCGCGCGGCGTTGCCCCGCCGGAGCGCCTCAGCGAAGGCCCGGAGCCGCCGTGGCGCCGGCGGCAGCGTGCAGGCGTGGCCGCTGCGGGGGTTGGCGGAGGCCAGCTCTGCCGTGCTGGGCATGCTGTGGAAGTAGCCCTCCAAGTAGAAATGCTTCGGAAGATCTGGGTGGTCCACGCACGGATGGAAGTGGGGAGGCACCTCCTCTTGCGGCCACCGGAAGTCTTCTAACAAGAAGTCAAGCAAGTCTTTCGACAAGTGTAGGCTTTGCAAGCCCACCGGGCCATGTGCATGGAATAAACGCCCCGGAGGGCCGCTGCTGGCCTCCTGAGGTGCTACACTGGGTATGTCCAGAGCCAGCACCGAGCGACTCACCAATCCTCTGAAGCGACGCGAAATGCCAAGGGCAAAGGTTGCAAGCGCCTCAGGCATCCCCGGGAAGATCAACATGGAACCCGAAAATGGACCTTTGGAAGACAATATGCCTTTACAACCCAGTGGTTCTTAGGTTCCATGCTCATCGTCCAGGGCGCCTCTTCCAAGGGCTCAGGCTGAGCTTTCACGCCGACATGTCTCATCAGCCCCTGTTTGAACTTCCTACATCTTCCTTCAGAGCACAACGTCCTAACAATTCAAGTCGTTCGTCGATGCTGCAAATCTATATAATCTATAATATAATATTATATATATATATATGTATGTCTTTGGGATCATGTCCGGTTCCTGTGTTCGAAATTCACGAGTCCCCAACACACCATTTAACGTCCGGAGCTTGCGTGAAACACCAGAGAGTTCTTAGGACGAGTCGAAGGAGTCGACGACGAATCCACCAGACGTGAAGCACAGGACACTCGACACAAAAGAACCTGCCTTCTTACTCGAGAGGCGCAACCCTCGTATGTCTATCTCATTCTATCTCTACAGTGAATAACAAAGACAAAACGTCCGCGTTGCTCATCCAAGCTGCGCCATCCCGAGCAAGCCGGTAGCGCCACACACACCCGCGCCCGTCACGCAGGTCCCGCGGAAGGCTCTGCCGGGCCCGAAGGCTCGGCGGAGCCCGAAGGCTCGGGGGCTGCTGTGAGCCTGGTAGAGAAGAAGAAAGTTCAGAGTTTGGGAGACTTCGGGTGTGGATTACTATGGATGACTCAAAATCTGCAGACCTAATGCCAGGTGGAAGTTCTGTTTTTTGCACTTACGGACTTTCACGGGCTGAGTCTAAGTGTTGGAAAAGGTGAAACAAACACCTTGTAAGTATGTTTACAAGACAATCGGATGGATGCCCTTTGGCTTTGTGGTGGTGCTTGGCCATAAAAACCCAACGGGGGGGCGCTTGCTGCTTCGTGTTCTCCACGTTGGATCCCCAGCCGAGCCACACGCGATGCCAAAAGTGATCGCCATTGGAGCCTGGGGACCGCCAGACGGGAGGAACCTGCACCTGACCCAAAGCTGACGGAAGGTTGAATCCAGAAGTCTGAACTACATGGAACATCACCGTCATCCAAAAGAGTCATCTTAAATCTCAATGACTTTGGATAATTCCCTCTGAGAATTTGGACACCCTTCAAATATCCCATTCTTTGGATATTATCCCAAAGTCATATTATCCATATTCCCTCTGCGTACCCTCTTCAATCTGAACCCCTCAGCTTTTGTCCACCTCCCCTGCCGGAGGTTCCCCCAGGGTCCTGGCCCACGTTTCTGCTCTCGGGCCCCGCGTGTTCTCCGGCCAAGCCAACAGCTGCGGTCCCGGTGTCACCGGTCCCGGTGAAGTTTCAATGCTTCAACGGTGGACTCTGGGGCCGATCTGCGAGGTCCTTGTCGTCTCGTCGTCTCGGCGACTGGTCCGGGAGGTCCGCGGAGGTCTTGGTCGTCGAGGAACGGGGAACGGGTTGGAGAACAAGCAGAGGTGGGACCGAGATCGAGGAACGTTGACACCCAAAAGTGGTCGAAAACGCTTGAGATGTTCTGGTCTACACGGCGCAGAACCCGCTGAGAGGCGCAATCTTTTCCTGGGGGTTCCAAGTTCAAAGCCTGCACCCCCCAAAACCCATGGTACAATGGGTCGAATCCCCGCCCCCCAGAGCTGGAGGCGTTTTCAGGGCCCTGACCGAAGCAGGGCACGAAGACCGAAGCGCCTCCAAAATCTTGTCCAAGGCCTCATCGAAGTCCATGGAGAGCAAGCGATCCGCCTTGGGATTGGACGATCCCCCCGCAGTCAACACCAAGACCACCCAGTCCGATGGTGAAACGAAACCACTGACGTAACGAAAGCAGGCAGAATGAGAGTGGTTGGACCCACCCACCAAAGATACCTCAGGAATCCCTGAGTCAGGCTCAAGTTGAGGGGGATTCCCCTCTGGGTCTATGTCAATTTCTTGGGGGACTCGACTGCCTGAAACGCTGGTGCGTTCTAGCCATTCCAGCCATGGTTCATGTCAATGCATGTGTAAGGCCGCAATGTAATGCTTTTGCGCACCTTTTGCAACAAACAAATACATGAACTGTAAACTCAGTGAGGATTTGCTGCAAGGACTTCAATTCTTTCACTCTGTCTTAGAAATGTCCAACAACTGCAACAGACTGGAACATCGTTAGGCAGGCACTTCATCCATGACCAAGTACTTGATGGTCTTCAAGTGGAAGCCCTGGCAGGACGTCAACAGGACTCAGGACTTGCGCCCAAACTGCAGGACTCAGTGATGAACAACAACCGACCCGCGCAGTTTGGGATGTGGAATTTGCCTCGTCTGTGAGACCCAGGTCTATATTCGCAGGTCGTTCGTCTGGTGAGGACCACAACGGCCACAGCTCGGACCAAGCTGATTGAACCTCTTGAGCCCCCAATACCGTGATGATCCCTGCTGAGCACTTAGTCGCTTCACCAGCGGAAACCGGGCGTCTGAGTCTGCACTCTGGTCCAGGGCATGGTCCATGGCGTGGGCTCCCGTGCCATTCGTGTTCATGTCGCACCTGTCCCACACATGTCGCCATCCAAATCGACCAATGGTCACCACGTGGTGATTGCTGGTGAGTGCAAAACGCATGTGGACTTTTCGATGACCACGAGTCGGCCGATGCTTCGCCGTGGCCTTAGTATTCTCCAAGTGGTCAACCAGACGCCCTGGTGTGGCCACCACCACATGCGGGCGTTTGGCCAAGGCCATTGCCTCACACACACCGCGACGGTTGGATCGAGTCAGATCCTCGCAATCCATACCCTCTGGAAAAAAAAAAGAAACAACCTGACGCACAACTGCGGATTGGAAACACTGCGGCATGATGACAGTTGGATACCGTTTGCATAAGTCCACTTAAGTTGAACGGACTGTCTGCTGGGTTTCCGGTCACACTTCCGCACTCAAAAAGGCAACTTTTCCGCCCACCCCCCCCAGCTTCGCAGTTCGGAGACCAAAGTCAGACTGTGGCCCCCATGATCTCCACCCGCCTGGTCAACCATGGCCAATCCTCCCACCACCGTCGCAGTCTGTAGCTTGATCGTGCTACCAATGGCCTCCCGACAAAGAAGAAAGCCATTCGTGTCCATCTCAACACACGACGGACGCGTTGTTTCGAAAAAACGCCTTGGAGCACTGGAGTACCGCTCGGCTGAATCTATCGGTGAGCGATGTCGACCAACCCCTCCAGCCCGAGCTCCATGCCGGTGCCGTCCTTTGACACCCGCCATGGCGGACCCATGTCTTTGGACGCCAACCGCCGCGGCGAGACGGCGCTTCGAAGCGGAAGAAAAAGCCCCAAGGGCCTTCGGCTTCGAGCGGATGGCTGGCCACGGCGAGACCCGGGCTCCGCGCGACGTGCCGTGACGTGCCAAGGCACGCGACGGGCTTTGCTTGCCCGTCCAGTGCCAACCGTTAGTCCCAAGCCCCCCGAGAGATGCGGTGCACGTCTCCGGCGAGCCTCAAATTGTTCGCCGATTTGGACCTTGGCCGGTCTTTTGTTCCGTCTCCCCCAGTTTGGGGGTCCGTGTTTTTTCCGAAAAAAAGAAAAGACATCTTGATCAGAAGGGTCCGTCATCAAGGTGAAACCCTGTGACATCAAGTTAGACCGCCAAATAGATAGGAGGTCGTAGATCCCCACTAAGAATGTGTTGTGATTATGCATATTGATTACAAACCTCACCTGTCATTTTTGTTTGTTGGTCGCCCTTTTGGTCCACCAATGAAAAGCTCCTTTTGCCCAAAGTCTGAGACTGACTTCCCCTTGCCACGAACAAGAAATCCCAGGGACCGTTTCGGAGGCCATACGGAGATAGGATTGCATAAGTATATGTATTTATTGTATAATTAGTATACTGCATGACCATATAATTTAATATGATTATGTAATATTGATGAATAGCAACAATATCGTACAAGATCATACAAGGGAGGCACTCCCCCAAGGCCGGCCCCCCGGTCTCCCCTCGGTGCACCACCCAGGGCGCCGCGCACACAGCTCCCGCGTCGGCGCCAGGCACACGGCGTAGAACCGCTGCGGGTCGTCCAGGAGGCGCTCGGCGGTGTCAGGCGGTTGACCATCACGATCGAAGCGAGATCTGATCTGAGAGGAAGTGTTGGGCTACTGAAATGAACATGAAACTGGAAGCGCTTGGAACTTGAACATGGATTTATCTGAGAGGAAGCGTTTGGAACTGAACATGGCACATGAAATCCCGCAGAAACTGCACATGTGGCTCCGTGTGGCTTATCAGTACATCCTGGAACATTGATCCCCCGACCTCCCAAAGCCATGCCCTTGAAAAATAAAGAAAGAACCATCGATCTGCTGAGCAGCTCCGCCTGCACGATGGGGAGTGCAAAGGCTCCCGTCTTGCCACTGCCCGTCTCGGCCAAGCCAATGATGTCCCGGCCCTGCAACTATTTGGACTCCAGCCACCCTCATTCCCTACAGGCATTCGCAGGGGGACGACCCCCCGAGCGAAAACCATCCTTGGCGAATAAGTGGCCAGGCCCAAGAGTGACAGTGTTCAACAATAAGAGACTCTAGACTGTTGATTGAAAAAGCCCCCCCATATGAAGATGTCAGAGTCGCTCTTCATAGATACAAAAGTCCATACAGGGCTTTTTCGGTTCATCAACCGTTTACATGATGCCGTCCTGCAGGGCCCATCCCAAAACGTCCGTCCTGCAGGGCCCAGGGGATCGCTTCTTGTTGGATCCTGCGACGCCACCGCGGCGACGCCACCGCGGAGCTGGTTCTTGTTCCACCGGACATGGACCAACCTCCCAAATGGGACCCTTTGACCCTTGGCGGAATCCGTGGAACAAGCGTTGTTTGGCAAAAAACAGCACCCTGTCTTGAGACGGAAGACATGTGACCAGGCCTGAGGCGGTCACTGAAAGGGATCCAAATGAGATTCCAAAATTCTCAAAATGAGATTTCTAATCAATGTATCTTCCTAGGTTACAAAAAGAAAGGAAAAGCATTCTGACCTTTCGAGGTGTCAGAATCTGTAAATATATCAGATATAATTCCAAAAGTTAAATTAATCACAATGAACCGAAAAACAAAAAGCATGCAGGAGGGAGGCTTACCTACCAAACCAACGTTCCCGTCGTGCGAGTTCAGCGGAAACCGCCTCCGCACCTCGTGGGCGACGCCCACTTCATGAGCTTCACCGCTCGGCAGAGCTCCTAGCGGCGCGGAAGACGGAAGACGGCCGTCGGCACGGAGAATGCACCGGTTTGGGGTGGCGCTTGGCGTTCCTTTGGGGAACCGGACTTCCTCATGGTCCAGATGCCTAATTCTGGTGGAACAACACTGGTACTTTGTTGTCGAAGTTCAAATAAACGAGTCGAGTCATCTTCCGCCAACTAGTGACCTGTTGCGATTTCTCCAAGCTTTGGCACTCTGCCCTGCAAGTGTGTAGATGCAGACCAGGTGGATGGGAAGGTCTGTTCGCCAAATCTGATTGCTTCAGGCACCCGCTTTTTGCAGTTTGGGAACTGTACTTGAAACAATTTGGGGTAGACGGTAGACAAACAAACAAACAAAGGAACTTTGTTCCTATGCTAGCTTGTTCTGATTGGCCCCCCGAAACCTCAGCAGGGCCCCATGATAGGAACCGTTGCTTGTCCAAGCCTGGGTGGACTGTCTGAGGATTGGCATTGACCCCAAAAACGGATGAGGGACCGAGGAAAGAAAAGAGGAACAGGTAACATGACCCGTAGCATCTTCCTTGCACCTTCTCTTTTCTGCATAAATCAGCCATGGGCAAGAGGACGAACTTGCGCTAGACCAGAGTTCTCCATGAAAGGAGAGACTGTCCCGCTACTTAAGCACTCAAGGTTCAGGAAAGACCCTGATATGTATATATATATTACATATATGACATGTATCCAAGAACTCACCTTTACCATGATATGAAATGCCTCACACTATGATGCCGGCTTGCTTTATACCACCTTTTGTTGGCATCCCAAAGGGCTCAACGCTCAGAAGGCGAAGTGGCCCCACTACCACCCCTTGTACGCGTCCTCGCAAACACCTAGAGCTTCAAAAGTCGTGGCCTGCCGTGGTCAGTTCAGGTTGACAGTTTCAGTTGCAGAAAAACAAAAAAGCCAGCACTCGGAACTGATTTCAACTTTCACCATAGAGCCAAGCAGCCAAACTGATATATACCACCTCTTTCATGGCAAACAACCTTGGTTTTCTTGTAGGTTATACAGTATATAATCTCGAATATTCCGACCAACTCCAACGCACAGTCTGCAAAATTGCAGGCTCCTCCTCCGCCTTGGCATTGGCAATCGTCGCGGTCGCTTCAGGTGTTGGCACCACCTGCAGCCAAATGACAAACGGTGAAGACCAGTTCTGAGTCTGTGGGGAAACACCCAACTCTGGTAGTTACTCGTTCAATGTGAATGCCCTCCCTTTGTCTTTGGAAAACGACGATGTGGGGCAGCAAATCTTCTCAACCTCAGCACAGCATCTTGCAATGATGCAAGTGAGTGACATGTCCAAGTGTCATGCCAAACGGCAAATGACTCAACTCCATGAATCAAGCATCATTCAAACTGCTCGGACAATATGCGCACAAAAAACAAGCCCGTCTTTTCAATCTTGCGTATGCAAGTCCACAAAAGCGCCAAGTCGACAAAACGCATGCACAAACGGTGCACAACGAACTCGTCGGTGAATGGCCTGCGGAACCCAACATTATGCGGGCTGTTGCGCGTCAGGGGTCCGACCCTCATCACCGTGGGAAAGCTTTGTTGCCAGGGTGATTGCTGTACAAAGTAATTTGCCTCCCACCAGGTCATCACACAACCTGAGAACTACACTCATCGGACTACAAAAGTGATATTTGATGTTTGCTCACTAGCATGCCGTGACACAAGGAGGCTCGGCTGAAGTGTATGGGCATGTTCAGCAACTCTATGCTGACCTTTGGGGACGCGGTGCGTGCATTTCCCGTCATTTGGCGGTCGCGGTGCGTGCACCTAGCTCGGCTTGTTCATGTAGGGGAATGCCCCCCTTGTCACCAAAGAGGAAGGTTTTGGCTTCATAAGTCTGGACGGTCTTGCTTTGCGGCCAGCGCCGGACCCAGCAAATACCAAGCACAGCGCTGAGGACAGACCTCGTCACCGGCGGCAATGCCAAATATGCCGGACGCTTGTAAAATGATGCATGTGCATATCATATACACAGTATATGGGTGTACATGGGATTGAGCTTTGCCCATGAACAAACGGGTGTAACACCGATAGAGCGACCCGCAACAGCACAAGTGGCGCAAAAAAATTCACTTGAACCGTCTAATACAAATGAGGGACATCGTAAAAGGTGCAGACCATTGCATTATGTCTATGTCAGTCTATGTGCGTATCTTTTTGTATATAATTATCCTTGATACTTTATACAAGTGTATAGTATACAATATAATGTACTGTACATCAAGCGGGAAATCCAACTGGTTTGCCTGATAATACTGACCAGGAGGAAAAAATGTGTTTCTATTGCTATTTTGCACTGAGTGGCAAATACCCACCAATCTTGGCCAGCAACATGAAAATCTGTGCAAAGCGCCCTACCTCCACTTCTTCGTCCACATAGTCGTTCATGAGTTTCAATGTCACCTGGTAGTGCTGCACTGTCAGATTCCCTACAGATTCTGTATGCATATCTGGGTACTGGTACTCAAGTTGCGAGGTGTAGACATTGCTCATCGGTGGGTCAATTAGTACCTGGTATAGACTCTTCCACATCGTCAAATTCGTGATCTGCTGAGCAAAGTCATGGAGACTTGGATGAGCTGACAACCTTTTTGAACCTTCTCTTCTCTTTTTTATATGAACCACTTGGACACCAGGTGTGAAGGCTGTCAATGTCGTCATTGTGTAGCGGTGCTGCCTCTCATCATGCACTCTCAAAATCAGCGTGGCATCACTTTCGTGAACACCAGGTGTCACAAACTTGTAATAAAGCTGCGCAGGCGTGTCGACAACATTGGGCTTCAGCTTTGAGACCACAAGGACAGCACACTCCCCAATGATGGGGTATTTGCGGTAGTGGATGTGGTTCAGCTGCACTGACTCCGTGAGATTGTATCCTGACACGGGGCAAAACTGCTTCACAGGAGACTTTGCAGCTTGTTGAATTGCATGTTGCTTCCCTTGGTCCACCGGGGTTGCAGCCCAGGTTTTGTTGGCAGTTGTAAAGGAAGTCAGCTGGCACTGTAGAGCTTTGGGTGCCGAAGTGGCCTGGCCGCTGCAAACGAAGAAATCTGGCAAGTGTCCGTAGTCGGTCGACCTTGTCATACTCAAAGCTGTTTGCTCATTCTCCATGATAACCCAACAGCGGTGACAAAGGTAAGCTGCAGGCATTCCATACAAGAGAACAACCATCACCCATGCAGCTGTCCGGTACTTTGCGTCTACCGTGTCTGGTAAGAAGAAAGCCATGGCTGGGTCAAGGCTTTCTAAGGCCACAAGAGCAAACAAAGCCTTGCTGCCAACCGTAGTCGCTTCACTTGAGCCAACTGCAAAGTTCAATCTGTCTCTTTCTTCATCAGCAGGAGAGCTGCGTACCAGAGGCTGTGAACCAAGGCGAGCTACTAGTAATTTTAATAATTAGAAGTGTTCAGACATGTACATGGCACCGTTCGCCTACAAGTATCTGAGAGTCTTTCAGCTCTAGCGACCGAACATCCTGTCGTGAGCGCCCACTTCCGAAACATCGCCCAGCCAGGCATCCCGACAAGAGCACCTTGAGTGGTCCATGGGTGAAACCATCGGAGCTCCAGCAGTGCAACCCGACAGTGTCGCTGCCAGTGTCGCTGCACCCGATCCGAAGGATGCGAGAACGCATCTCATGCGACCGCAGGGTTGATGTTTGTTGTGTACATGTCATACATGTTATGTTGCTGCAGCCACCACGAGATGGGGAGAGATGTGATATTCACACGATCCTTTGTACCATAGTGAGGGGGAGCGACACATATTCTCACACTATGAAATGTGAGCCTCATTCTGTGGCTTATCAATCAAACGATTGCTTGACCTAACCCAACGGATCCTGTTCATCCTCTCCCACCCCACGAGCCACAAGCTCGGTTGACCGATTTTCACCAGCAGAGCCGCGGTGAAGTCGCGTTCGGCGTTTTTCGCGAACTCGGCGCGCTCATCGTTGTGGTGCCTTGGAGAAAGCGGCCGTTCGAGCGGTCACCGGAGCACCGCAGTCGTTCGGTTCTTCGATGTTCAAAATGCATCGAAAATAGATCCAAAACGGACACACCAAGCGTCGAAGGCCTTTCCCGCGGCAAGGACGTGCTCAGGCCTCACACCTGCTTTCTGGGCCTGTGCGGCATTGAAGGTGCAAAACGTTCTACTTCGACATGATCTTCTCACACCAGATTCATTCCCAAAAACGTCTCAACTCTCACGGTCTGAGTAGCAACATGTCCACTTGCAGCCAAGTGTCTGCCCTGGCGCCATCTACGAAATGCTGTGGCCTCAACCCAGCTTGATGGGCCATTTGTGCACCTTGAAGCACGTGTTGTGGGCGAACACCCGCCTGGTGCGCCATCCTTGCACCTTCCAAGGCATGCTGTGGTCTGATGCCCGATTGCTGGGCATAGCGAGCTCCAGTCATCATGTCTTGAGCGCTCAATCCGGAGTCCTGTGCCAGCTTCGCACCAGCCATGAGCTCCTGAGCCGATGGAGCCACTGGAGCCACTGGGGCGGCCATGGGAGTCGCCTCCTTGGAGAAGCGCCTCTCCTCCAGCCTCTCAGGCGGGAAAAAGCCCAAGCCCTCTTCCTCCCTCGGGGGGTGAGACGGTCCCGGGCCCGTCTCAAACCGCTGCGGCTCGTCAAAAGGAGAGGATTGGTTCCCACTTGGCCAAGCTTCAGGTTGGTTGGGCCAGCGCTCTGGCCAATCTCTTCCTTCGGGTGTCGCCGGTGACATTCCCGCAGGTGCCGAAAGCGGTGCAGCAAGCGGTGCAGAAAGGGGGCCAGGCGCCTGGAGCAGCGTCATGAGGTCCATTGCACCTGCATCTTCTAAGATCTCGATCCGAGCGTCTGCTGGCATGCTTCGCAAAGCGTGTTGGATCTTTTTGGATCCGTAAAGCAGCATAGACCAGTTCTGAGAGGAGCCCAGTAAACGGGTACATTCCTGGATTTGCTTCCGTCGGTTGAAATACCGGCGCCGGATCTCAAACAAGAACAACCAGGCAGCCTCAATCTGATGGTTGCTGTAGATCGGAGCCTCTAGGAAGCCCTCATCTGACACTTCAAAGCAGCCTTTGGTCAGCATCGAAAAAGAGGTCTCCAGGTCCAGTTCTTTGGCCTGTCAATTTCGGCAACGAAGCGAGACGGCGGCTTCGATTCATGGAGCTCAGCCCACTCCCCAAATGCAGTTGAGTCTGGGACAAACACCAATACCTATTCAATTCTCATACGTGTCAGGGAAGGGTGGTGTATACAAACAAAAGCCAATGCACTTCGTGTGGTGTCATATTGCATGCTGCATGCTGCACAGAACAACAGGCGCAGGTATGTGGCATGTATGTGGATGTGGATGGATACTCCCACCTGCAAAAATCACACATCATTCAGCACTTACCCGCCGATTCGAACCTCGTTGTGGCTCTCGATGCGTTGTAACGCCTGGAGGAGCCACGCGCAACGCTGGCGCATGGCCACATCTTGGTGGGACATGGGCAGCGGCCATGACCGACCCTCATCCATGGAGCTCACGCACGCTGAGAGGAGGAAAATGTTGAGGCAAGTGAGGTAGTTGAAAGGTTTGCCTTGGGTATGGTGGCAGATAACCAGCCACTACAAGAAAATAGGCCCTTTTTGCCCTTTTGGACTATCTGCATCTATCTGCTATACTTCAGGACTCAGATTGGCTGGCTTTGGTGCTCGACTGGAGTGCTCGACTGGCTTGGTGCCTTGACAAAGGTTCTGCCGTTCTGCTGCTGCTCGAGGTTCAATCTGGATGAGACTATATACTGGGTGTCCAAAAATGTGCTTTAGTTCCGTTTAGAATTCAGATTGAAGCTTGAGCCAAAATCATGGCCGGGAACGGAAAGAAGCTTGGGAGGCTCGCCATCAAGGCCGACTCCGCATGTTCAACAGGAAACAGTCCTCGCCACTTCAATGCTGGTTGAAGTGAAAAACCGTCTAACAACTCCTGTCTTCTGGGCTGTTGTGGTAAAACGATGCTGCTGGCCAACCAGAAAAGCTCCCCAACATCAAGCTGTACGTCGGAATAGGGACATCCGGTCTTTCGAGAGTCACCACCGGCGTCGGGCCCGGCCAAACGACTGGGCCTCTTCCTCCGTCGAGGCCACGGGTGTGGCGACCTCGGTCCGGGCCACGAACGGCGACACCGACGAGGGGAAGCCCTTGGGGAGCGCTCCCAACATGCGTAGCTTCGAACACTCCGTTCGTAGCGATGCCCTTTGTTCCGTTCGTAGCTTCTTGTTCATAAGCCTTGGGGGGTTCGCCCTGCATGGCCAGAGAAGTCAGACTCAAGTTTTCAACCTTGCCAGGTCAGTTCTTTTGAGGCATAGCCAAAGACCCATACCACCTAATACAACCGAAGCTTCGCAAAACGTGCGGTGCCTTCTTCTTCTTGGCCTTCGCTTTCTTTTTGCCACTGGCCTTTTTGGTCAGCACCGCCTGGGCTGAAAACCAAAGCCATCAAAACGGGTCGCTTGCAGAAAGCACCAGAGCCCAACAAGCGAACTGTGCAGTGCAAGCAGCCCCTTTGATGCTTGCATTTGCCAAATCAGTCCAGACAAATGGCTGAGGTTGCTGCCATGTGCGTTGCACGGGATGAAAGCCCAGAGTTCAGGGCATGCGCGTCTTATTTGCACCGGCGGATAAGACCAAGGAGAGCTCGCGTGGCAAAACTGCAAAATCTCGTGGCTCGGAGATGGACTCAAGAAATTGTTGTCAGCTCACTGCTTCGAAAATCAGCAAATGAACTGCAACTCGGAGATGATCTCAGCTCGCTTTTACTTTGTCGGGTTGTCTCTATGTCTCACCCAATTCTGTGCCGATTGCACCTTGAGCGGTAAAAGGCCACCAAATTCAGTCTTAGTCCTGTCATCTGTGCAGTGTTCACCGAACTATGGGAGAGGTTCTGAAATGAGTCATCTTGCCCTCCAACGTTGCCCAAATTCGCCCTATTCTTCACTTTTTTTACGTGACGTACCACATGGTCAGCGCATAGCGGTCATGGCTGGTCGGCCGCACTTCGTGGATCACATCCCTGGAGCGGAAGAGGATCAAAGAACCCCCATGCGGCAAGGCCTCGGGTAAGGCAAGGCCTGTCAGAATCGGCTGCTTGCTGTGGTGAAGCCGCATCCAAGAAAATGGGCTTCGTATATCCCCCGTGAGTTTCTGATTTCTCCCAAGAGTGGGTTTTGTTCAGCACAGATCAAAAGAATGACCTTGAAGAAAGTGGTTCATCACATTAGAATGTTCGGAAGTTGCTGAACTTGCCCCTGTAAGTAGCAAGGTCGGGTCGTTCGCTTCGGTCACCACTCAGAACCCTGTTGTCCGAACCTGCAGTCCGTCGCCGTAGGTGCCAAGCGGCATCGACGTAGGAGTCCTCTGCCCTGCTCTCAGCTCCGTAGGCCCGAAGTGCCCCATCGTAGGATTCGTCCCAGTGGTCCTAAGCCGAAGTCCTTCGATCGATCTGAAGAGGTCTTCGTTTTCAAAAAAAAAAACGGAAAAACTCAGCTGTTGGGTGTCGTGGAGGGCAGCCAGCTGTTGGGCATTAACCCTTTCGGACCCATGCCATCCGACCCACTTCCCCTTTAGGGAGAGACGTTGGCAGCAGAGACGCTGCCAACCCGGTCGGAGGCGAGACGTGGCGATCAGCGTGATGGTCTTAGGTCGGAGGCTGGGCCTGAAACAATTAGGTCGGCATGTGCCAAGTTTCGTTCAGGTACAGGATCGCGGTGACTCTCCTGCCAAGGTGCCAGGAGAGTCACTCACAATAGGAACGCGCACGGTCGAACCACTGGCACAACTAGCCCAATAGCAGCAGCTCTCCTATTACACCTCAAGAAGACGACATACACCTGAAACCCCCATTGGTCGCAAGGAGACTCATTGGCAACCCATCTGTGTTCATGCCAACACCCTGATTGCTGTGGTAACAGCTGGTAACTGCTGGAACACGCGCCGATCCTCGAGACGCCGTGCGGAACCCCTCCGTGCGGAACCCACGACGAGGTCGACCGTGGGAGACAACAGACGTTGCTCGCATCAAACAGGTTGCCCGCCTGGAAGAGATCATAGCTCTCTGATCAGGTGGCATGGAATCCTCCAACTCCTCTAGTGCTGATCCATCCGTGTGGGCCACGTAGCCCTCAGATCCGGCGGGAAAGCATGCCAGTTGCAGCTTCGAAGTGGGTCTCACCCCAGTCGATCCACCTCTACCAAGCTCGTCCAGCCGTTGACAGACGGCGGCTAATAGGTGCACCGCAAAGGTCAAAGCGCTGTAACCCATCAGCTCACCTGAGCAGTCCAATTGCGGTTTCAAAGGTTCGATGGCACCCCAAGATGTCTTTTATATAGGGGTCCATATAAACCACCGACATTGGGGATTGTGCCAACTCTGAAACCACTGTATTGAAAAAGTAATAATAAATATAAATAAATAAAATACTGGATTCAGATGTGTTTTCTTTCCCAGGTGTTTCACACCCGGCAAGCTGTTTCAGGAGGGCACTGAGTTGGATGTGTAAGGGGGTCATAATATGTTATATATCGTGTTCTATACAATTTCCCACTGGTCACCATCCACAACTGGGGCGTGTGATTTTACCTGATGGTGTTGCAAACATGGGTGCATGCGCACAGCATGCCCGGTGCACGGGCGTGCAGGGTTGTACCTCCTTCCAGGCCAGAACGGGAATGGGAAACAGGATGAGTCTCCATCAAGATCTGCAGGTTTCGGGGGGCGGCCTGATTTTTGGAGCTTCAAGTTTAGCAGGTCAACTTGTCACATGGCTCACGCACCACAACCAGTAGAGAAAGTACCGCACCAAGAGTTTGCCAAAGAAACCTGGGCATTACATGCTACCGACTACCACCTCTTGAACGTATACCAATGTCGCAAAGCCCCAAAAGAATGCCTGAATGTCGCACAGGGCGCAAGTCTCCTTATCAATTAATCGATAGGCATCTCCTCGACCTTCTTGCCACCGATTCCTGGGATCGTGCTTCGCCCTGATTTGCCACGCGCGTTTGGGCTGTTGAAGGATGCTTCAAAAAATGCATAGCACGAGTATCAGCACCACACGCAACGGTGACAATCATTCGAAGGCAAAAAAAACGCATGATCTGGGACAATGAGTGAGTGAGTGATTGATTATATACTAATAGGAAGACATTCACATCTGTGCAGCCGTCCAAACTTGGTACATGGGACATGGCCATGTGCAATAAGAGCATCGCTTCGCTCCACACAGTGCCAATCAAAAAGTCATTGTGTGGTCGAACATTTGTCCGAATAAAGATGATGCTTAAATGATGCTTCATGTCCAAAATGTGATATCACTGTACCGCTTTTCAAGGGGACCTAGCGCTCCCCGCATGGAGCTGCCATGAAGATAGATGCCATGGCGGCTCACACGAAGAGCTTTACAATGCTTTACATGCCAAGTGTTGATAGATTGGAACCGTTGTTTACATGCCATGTTTTTGATAGATACCACGGTACCAATTTTTATGTACCACTCTTTAGATGCGATGATTGCACATCGATGTGCAGTTCACAACGGCACCAATCATCATCGCCTTCCGACCAGCACCGACCGTCCAATTGCCCTCAAGCAACCAGTACGTTGATGGTTGCAGACTTTGCCGAAGCGCTTTGGCCTACGGGCTACGGTCGCAGTAGAACATGCACGTCCAATCGTGGTCTGCCGCAATGTAGACTCTTGATGATATTTCAACCTGCCATAATGAAGAGTACAACCCATGTATGGGGAGGGGTTCTATTGATCGTCTACATTAATGTGCTTCGACCGCGAGCACGGCCAGTTTTCGCTTTGAAGATGGCTGCATGCCAGGCCACCTCCATGTTCATCTGAACCGTGAGCTTGGGGCCGATGATATTCATCAAGCAAACCAAGCCACCGTAGTCGCCTCATTTCGGACCCAAAACATCTAAGCTCCCCAAAAGGATCACTTGAACCGCGCCTTGAACGGTCTTCAAGGTGTCCCAACACATGGAGCGTTTGACCAACAAGCTGTGCACATGTCCTACCCCAGAACTTATGCTCTGCAAACAAAGGTTTGACCGGACAAAGCTAGCTGCCCGATGCTTTCGACATCACCACCAGGACATTTTTGGGAGACAAGCAGCATCCATAACACACCAAACAGCAGCTCTTCTTGGCTCACCCTGTGGTTTGTGGTCTTTTCCATGGTCGAATCACAAGATATATGGAAAATCGGCGCTTCTTGCAGCTGGATGCACTGGCTGAGGTCACGCGGGACACCGTCTCAGCATCCAGTGCTGCTGTTGCTCTCCTGGCCGCTTCCTCGAAGCGAATGCTTTTCGGGTGCGACGTCTCAAGGGCCCGGTGATAGATCAAGTTCGATTGAAATCTGGAAAAACATGAGAGGACACGTGTGTTTGTTCATGTACGACGATGTACGACGTAATGGTGCTGCGGAGACCGGAAAGCCGGTTCCGAAAAGAAGTCATCCTCGGAGCCACTGGAAAGCAGTACCCACCAGTTGCACCAACAAGATCCAACAAGCACCCACAAGAAAAGCCCTTTGCTGGCCGAGCAGTGGACCGCATGGACCGCATGGATGAGGCAAAAAAGGCGTCGGTGGTGCCCTCTTCGGCTCGGTTTGTGGTGGCTGGGAAGCCCCTGATCGGAAGTCGAGGTAACAATGATAACAGTTACATACAATTATGTGTTCAACAAGGCACCCATTCCCCGAAAGGGGTTGGGTAAGCGAAGCACCTCTTTTTGCTTGCATCAATTCCTTCCGAGTCACTGTGGATAGGTCGGAGGCAAAACTCACAGTCCCATCGAAGCCCTGGGGCACTTGCCTGTGACCGTCGAGCACCTCCAACCCCTTTGACTTTCTATGCGGATGCTTACCATATGAATATTAGATCTATTTATATTATATGCTTATTACATGCTGTACATCGAAAATGCATCGTGAAAAATTGCTACTCAGCGGCGGGAAGGTATGCAACATTGAACTTCCAAGCAAACATCATCCAGGAAAAGAAGTAAATCGACTACACCGACATCTTGCTGTGATCGAAGTGAAAAATCGAATCTGGAATCGCACGAAAATGCCAACAAATTCCACGCAAGAAAATGGCGTGACAATCGCGGTGGTCTTCCAGGTTTTCCGGGGAGCTTGGAAGAGCTGGGCGAGCTGGGCGTGGGTTCGACGGTCCATCTTGTAGTTCACTTTGTACTTGTGTAGCCACGGGAAAATGGATCATCTTGGTCCATGTTGGTCCTGTTCCTAGCGGTCCTACCGGCCGTTTGCTCTCTATCAACTGAGTGTCCACTTCCACTGGTCCTCCGTGTTCACCGTGCCTCATCATGGGCGGCGCTAGGGACCCTCGCCCGCTGCCTTTCTGCAGCAGCAAACCCAAAGGTTCGGGGGGGTGCAAACCATGGTTTGCCTCTAGATGTTCCCTTCTGGACTGCTCCTGGAATCTTTTTCCCTTCAACCACTTCTGGAATCCTTCTTGATGCTGCTCTAAGAACCCTTGTCCCCGTGCGCACGTGCTTTTTTGGAACGTCTTGTCCCGGTGCGGTGCGGTGTTTCCTTGGCACCGGACCAGAGAAGACGATGAGACCTGAGAAGCGGAGCGACCAACACGGCGAGCCCAACGACGGTATGTACGGACCGAGGAGTCTCATGGGTTCGGCGCAAGCACCATCCCAAGACAAGCAAGGGGTGCTTGGTCTTTTTCTGATTCTTTTCCGAGGGATTGGCCATAAAGAGTATTGGGGATTTGCCAAGAGCTTTGAGGGGGGAGACAAATAGTATACACCATACAATACAAGTCTCAAATGATATGAAATGCATCGTCGCTGATTCTTGACGCCTGTTATTTCTTAGCTGTGGGTTTTTTTGGGGTTCCGCCTGCACATCCATCTCCGAAAACGTGGACAACGACGGCCCAGGAATGGTCCCCCGATCCCTGAACAATGGACACACTCAAGACCTTTCAACACCACACATCGCACCCATGCTTCTTGAGATCTGAGATCTGCGCAGCTGGTCACGCCCATGCAGCGAAGGATCCGCCGCTTCATGGTGTCTACAAAGGGCTGAAAACGGCTCGAGCGAGAAAAGGCAAGGAAACTCGCGTCCCCAAAAACTCCTGTTGCATGTTGACCACTGCAATTTCCCTGCAGAAACAACTGAAACACCCACCATGGTAAATATCACCCAACAGCCGAGACATGGCACGACAGTTGCAAAATGCCGCAAGCCTGGCAAGCTACATATTCAAATGGTTTGGTAAGGTAAGAGTTTGTTGATCAAAACCAGATAGGAATCCCGATTTGCGCGGCGCCACTGACAGCCGGCGGCTGCCAGCTGGACCACCGCCCACCGCACGGCCCCTTTTCTCCAGCGACGTGCAGGTGGCCCGGCGTCTTCTCCGCACACGGTCCGGTGGGTGAAACTGCGGTCCGCTTGGCCGGTTGGGTGAGACACATCGATCCCCGGACAGCGGAGTCGGTCAATCGAAGTCGGCGTCGGTCAATGGGCACTCTAGTGAGAAGTAATTCTTGAAATCATGTGTGAGAGGTGGGGAACAGTTTCCTTCATCTTATGGTGTACCATGAAAATCACAGACCTTTAGTAAACTAAGGCCATACTTCACAGACCGCCGTTGACTCCAGAGCCCAGCTTTCAGCTCAACCCATGCCTCAGTGCCTGGCTCGCGGCGATTGGGCAACGCTGACGTGGGAAGCTTTATGATGCTTCAGGTTCAACAGAATCGTGTTGCTTTTGTTCTCTGAGGCCCATTCTTAAGGCACCTCAAAAAGAAGGAACGTTCTTTGACCGCAGCTCACATCTCAAATTCTCTGCTTCTTTTGCTTCTCTGCTCCAGTGCTTGTGCCTGACCACGGTGTTCGCTGCATGATGGGCCGCCTCCACATACACCTAAAGTCCCAACACAGCGTGTCACATACACCGAAAGGGACGGAACACTTGGGTGTGGCAAACGACTCGCTTGCTCCAGCACTCACCACTGTTCGGAAGATCAGTGATCACCTTGGTACAATACTTGTTGGATGGGCTTCGTCTCGGTTCCTCCGCTTGGATCCCACAAGCTGGCTGACGTCGAAGTCGACCGAGACCCGCAGACCGAAACCACCGGACCCGAGACCCGCCGCCCGAGGGGCCGTCTTGTCGGCCATGCGCTTCACGGGGACGTGGTTGAGGTTCACCTAGAGGGAGGTCGGGGACGTGGCGGGTGGGAGCAAGGAAGCGGGAGCAACTAACTCGGTCGACTGAAAAATGAGGAGGAAGAGGAGGGAGCAGAAAAGGAAAATGATCTTTCCACCAAGAAATAGGGACGCTCTCGTCCCCTTCTGCCAGGCAACAGCTCCGTTTCGCAGTCCCGGCCTTGCCGTTCACCACGAGCAGTGGATTTGGGGCTGACAGCACATCCTGTCAAGTGGAGCTCTGACAAGGACAAGGACGACATGGGATCAAGGGCCACGTGGTGCTCAAGGATGTTAGGTTGTTCAGCTTTAATAAGAACCCATCCAACTACCCATTATTGTTACAATGTCTCAGCATTGCGGTGATAGAGCCACCTTTGAACTATTTTCACCGTACCTCAACTTGTGCATGTCTTTCGCTGCCCGCCTCGTTGACGCTGACACCATCCAAGAATTGTTTCAGAATGGAGCGCAGCCTCAGTTCACAACACATGAATACCCAAGGTCCTGCATCTTGGGTCTTTCAAGTGGATCTGGATCAAAAATCGGGTGCCATGTATTGCCCACCTTGGACATGGAAAGAAAATGAAACCAGATGTGCAGCTCCCTAGGATCCCTAGGTGTTGTTATTTGAGAGCCAATATCAAACTTTGGAGGCCTTTCCCTTTTTGCAAAGTTGAATGGCACTGCTGTCAAGTTGCTGTACATTCTCCTTGGTGAGACGTTTTCCCTCCTGTTCCAAGTTCACCCCTTGCATTTTGAAAGCTGGATCAATCAGCAGCCAACAGAGCCAACAGAACAGAATCTGGTCAGCCTGAAAACTGTCGGATGTTCTGCCTAGCCCGATCTTTTTGTTTAAAAAACAGGCGCAAAACGACAACGTCACCGCATTCATGTCTGTCCTGTTCGACTGCATGGAGATCCAGCTTCACCTCAGCGTTGCTCACCCGAACCCAAACGGCCCGACGCGGCGTCGGGGTTTTCACGACGCTCCGGTTCCCGGGGTTCACCCGAGCAATGGCTCGCCAAGGAGCACCAACCCTCTATGTGTTTTCATCTGGACACTTCGGACACCCGAACCGGGGCATGCTTTTTGGGATCCCCCCGAGCTGGTCCTGGCTTCGAGTTCCGACCCCCCTTCTGTTTGGCGCGGCGCGGCACCTCCGGCGGGGCCAACAAACGGCGAAGTCTCGCTCGCGCGGTGCATTTCTTCCAGCTGGTCACGCAGACAGCCCCGCTCACCCGAAAACCGCACCTTGTTGAAGCGTTTAAAGAAGTTGTCCAAATAGGTCCACTCGTCGATGCCGACATCGGTGAGCTCTTTTCGGATCTCCTCTTTGAGGTCCTGGCCAGGATGGCGGCTAGTATGGAGGCCGTAGAAACCGAGCAAGCTTCGATGGGCTGGGCGTTGTGGGAAGCCGGTAAAAAAGATCGTTTTGACGAGACCGGTGTCCCAGCACAGCGTGCCTCATCTCCGAACTCGAGCTCACCTTCCTCAAATTCTTGAAGGATGTCACGAGAGAGGTAGAACGGAAGCACCTGTGCTGATGGGAAATCTTCGGAAGCTTGCGCCCATGTCTGTAGGGAAATTGGTCAGACACTCGTCCACAAGCAAAGCCTTACAAAAGATTCAATTCCCACCGCATCTCACTTCCACTCAGCGCCTTCTCTCGCTCTGTTTCAAATTTCCTCGAGACGGGAGTAGACGACGGGGCCATGCGGCGCTCTGTGTGGGCCGGGTCTTTCACCGCAGAACGGCTCGTCACGGCAACAGACGCAGTACTCGTCCGGACGAGCAAAACACGCGGAAAGTCCATGAAAACGCCGTCTATTCCCAATCCCTCCAGGTCAGTTTGACCTCATTTGACTGGATCCGGAAAAGTGCAAAACAAGTACTCAATGAGGCCAAGGACAACACCACCCGATGTTCTCCTTCCCCACCATGCAAACCGTTTTTCTCCTGCACAGCTCCGCAGTTTTCAGGATCCGCTCGGCCAAACCCAGCTGGTCGTTGAGCGACTTCATGCAGTTCCTGGCGCCCAACACCGGTGCATCAGGAAACGGTACAGAAACTCCGCGATACCCCCGCGTGACCTCGTGAAGCATCCGGGGGTGAAGGGTTGGATAAAGGGAAATAGACCAGTCTACCAGTCTACCCGATTTGGGACCTCCCTATGAAAATACACACCCATATGTGGAAGACACACAATGTGAACTGGATTGAACTGACTGCAGGTCAATTCTGACACAATGTTGCATGCGCATGCATGTGCTGCATTGCAACACGTTCACCGCTGTCACCGCTCGTGCACAAATCATATAGCCGCTGGGCAGTTCAAATCACTGACAATGATAAACAATTGAACTGAAACATTTCTATGTATATATATTAACACATACATAGACTTGGGGCAGGGAGCAACCACCGGAATCCCTGGCCACTTCACAAGTCTCCGTTTTTCAGAAGGCCTGGCATTCATGGTGAGGTCAGCCAAGCGCTTCTTACCCTCACTTCTGAAGTGATTCATCTTCGCTTTCAGCTCCTTTCCAACAGGATGAGGAGTCAAAAAGGGCACATCAGTGAAACAAAGAATGTGGGAAACAAGAGGTCAGCATCTTCGACGAATCCGTTTTTAACAAAGGTCTGTTTTCTGTGGTCTCCCTAGTGGGTGCAGCAGATCTGCGCAAGAAGAATGTGTGCCGGGACAAAGACTTGGCAAACACTGCACCCGACCTGAGCTCCTCTGCCTCTATACACCCAAATGAGAAAGAGATGAACGGATCTGCAAGCTATGCAAGATTGTAGATTATATCTATACACATATCTATGTATTAGGTACAAGAAGTCCAGGCCCATGTTCTTGGATCCAGCATCTTCCGGGCCAAAAAAGGAGTCGGACAGAACAGGTGAGTCTTTTCCTTCGTGTCTGCGCTTCAAGTGCCCACCGCGGTCTGTGCCTGAAAATGCTTCGCAATGTGGTCCTTCTCAGTTCGCAGTTGCTGATTGCGGTCCTGGCAGTCAGAGATCATTCTTCCCATCTATCTTCGTCCAAAGATTGGCGTCCCATCGACTTTCACGCGTCTCACAATGTGAAGGACCTCACACACACACACACACACGTGATCCTTGGAATTCTTGTTTCCTCGGGGTCTGGTCTTCCTCTTCCTCAACACCGTCAACTCAAACGTCTCGCAATGGCAATGAACGTCGGCTTCCCTGCCTCACATTCTTGGCGATTCTGTGCAATCTTTTGCTTCCAGTGCTGGATAGCAGCCTGCAAGGTCCGGAACGTTGCACGCACCCGGCAGTGCTTCTGGTGCTTCCATCACCGAACACCCACCGAAGTAGACCGGGCGGCATCGTTGCAGCGCCTGCATACGCTCCACTTGCCTCAACCGCTTCTCCACCTGGCTGACACGCGGCTGGGTCATGGTGATCATCCGGAACGCTGTTTCTCAGCGGACTGTAGTGTTGACTGTAGTGTTGACTGTAGTGTTGACTGTTGGGCTCAGCGGAAATCAACAACTCATTATATAATCGATGGATTGGCTTAAGGAAATATCTATGGGTCTCCGAGTCTCCTGTAGATTTTCCCATGCCAATTCTGGACAACTGGTGGGGCTTGAGTTGAAATTGGAAAACATTCTACTCCAGCTCCGTGAATCTCGCCTGGTCACTCAGGAAGGAGTCTCGCTTGAGGTATTCCTGCACTGCACACAACCCAGCTGTTCCTCTCCTTGCTATTGGCCTTTATCTGCATGATTTCGACTTGGTTTTTAGATGTGTTTAGAACCAATCCTTCAGACATTTTGAAAAGAAGAAAAGTCATTGCGACACTAATCTTCACTGCGACATGACGTCACCGGGGTGCCCGAAACCCAACTTGCCCGTCTCTGCCATGGTCTTTTTTGTGTCAAACTTCCACTTCCACTTCTTTCTTCGTGGCGTCCAGCACTTTGGCCGGCCACGTCCACGTGGAGCTCGTGGAGGTCGACGGTGTCCGCGCTTCACGCTCCAACCAACTCCGCCAGACTCCCAAGCGCTGACGGAGCGGAAGGATCTCGGAGCTCCAGGGAGCACCCAGCTCCATGAGACCAAACAAAGGCAAGAGCTCCTGAGAAACAACGACCAAACGAACGAGTCTGGGGGAAAGTGGAATTCTGGAATGCGAAGTACTGTATACTGTATACAGTATACACCGAAAAAAACGACGTAAACAGGCCAAACTAGTGCCAACAGTCATCAAAACACAAAGCCTCAAGCCAAGCTTCCGACAAACTATGTCCTCTCTGCCGTCCGGTGAGAGCCAATCGCACTGGCAGCAGAAGTTTCTTGCCCTTGAGCCCCGTTCGTGCAAAATGCTCTTTGAGCTCGTCCCAGGTCAAGCTCCCGAGTCCTTAGCATCAGAATGCTGAGGGCATCGACTGCGGCTCCCCTGCGACTCGAGCTGTTACGGTCGATCATGGCGTGAAGAGATGCCAAGGGTCGATCTTCATCCAGCAGCTGCAGCAGCTCCGCAACCACCAAAGGCATCTCATCTGCGTGGCGCGTGCTGGTGTGAAACATGCCGCACATGCGGCACAACTGCATGACGTAATGCTGCAGATTGATTTGGAAACTCCAGACCCACTCCTCCTGCCTGTCCTCTGCCAACCAAAACCGCCACACCATGCCAAACCGCCACCTCGGACCACACCTCCACCTCTCCAGAAAACCAAACACACCCAAACCAAAAACTCCTCAAGCATAAAGCCCCCAAGAAAAGAACTTGGCCTGGCAGGTCTTCTTCCTCGAAGCGGAAGCGGATCTCCGAGTGCAAATGCCGCAAGGCGTCCCGCAAGTTCTCGGCGCCGGCGGCCGCCACGCGCGCCGCCAGGGTGAGCAACGCCGCGTCGTCCGCAAAGCCATGGAGCACCAGCAGCGGCTGCAAGCGCTCCTGAAGCGGTGTGGGGATCGTGGGGTCCCAGCTGGGCTGGATGTCTGTGCTGCCTTGGATAGAAGTTTGGAAGCCTATGACATTCTGAGAATCTGGTGGAAAAAATAGCAAATTGATGCAAAAGTTTGCGGGCTTCTCTAGTGGATTGGAAATGATTGGAATGGATGTCTGGTCTGCGTGAATCAAGCAAGAATCATTCTCCGACTAAAGCTTGTTTTTGATGCTTTCAGCTTTCAGCCGATTTCTGGTACCTTCCCTCTACATCCATTCCTTTTTTACAATCGAGTCGGTTGCTTGCCTGATGCGTTGCGCGGTATGTTTCTTCAACCGATGAAAAGAAACCGGGGCCATCATCTTCGGATCTTCGGATGCTGCATCTAGTCGTGGGCCTTGCAATTCTTTTTCCATCTGGTCCATCTTACCCCCCCCACCGTGTAGCTGCGTCCTCTAAGAGCTCCCGTGACATCGGCTGATCCAGCTGCGCGCGGGCGTGGGCATCCCAGGTGCCGAGCTGCGCCGCGAAGAAGGTCGTCAAGTTCCCGAAGGTGTTCCGTCGAATGCACAGCTTGTACCTGACACGATGCCGTCTTTCGCCCCGGGAAGCTGCCCTGGGAGTGGACACGGAGGGGCTGTGGAAAGCATCTGTTTGGGAGGTGCCAACGGGAGCCCAAAGTAAATGGGAGGAAAATACGACACTCCTTTAACACTAACATGGAAGTGGACAATGGTCTACTTTCCCTTTACGAAATGGGGCGCTTCATGATGTTTGTTCTACTTCCATGTCAGTGAGTCCGGGAGTACACTGCCTGATTGATTCTCATGGAAGTGGATAGGATGGCCCCCCATTCATGGCCATGAAATCCAAATAATGTAGACTCTTGATTAATACACCCCCCCTTTGCAGAGGATGTTCAATTCAAATGGGGGGGTGTGGTCATCAAGAGTCTACATTACTATGTCACTCGTGGTGAAGTCACTCCACTTCCATGTGAACATCCGTCGGAGTGTGCATCCGTCTGTTTCAGGCGAAGCACACATGCTCTCCTAACCTTGCAGACCGCACGTAGCCAATGTCCCTCGATTGGAAGTCCTGACTCCACTTGCGTGCAGTGGCCCGATCGGAGAATTTCGTTTCAAAGTAGGCCACGGTGGCAATGGCCAGTTGCCACTCAGGAGAGACACCCACGAAAAATCCCCCCACATCCTTGATCAAGTGCTTTCCATTCAGATCCCAGGTGAACTTCCCACTCACGAAGTAGGGATTCAACGCAGCTTCTTCTTTTCCAATCCCCTTGTAGCGAGGCCCCAAGTAGCGCGCAGCTCCACGTTGCTCCTCCAAATAGAACTTCACCCAGTTGTGCAAACCGCCCACCAGCTCTCGCCCATTCAAATCTTCCGTGGCCTCGCCAATGAAGACATGCTCGAAGCCACACCTGGGCGAGCTGGGATGTCGCTGGAACCAGATGTGCCACAGTTGCTCCCGCCACTGGACATCACTGCGAAGACTGGCTTCGTATTTCTCCGCTTCTGTGCGGGCGCGTCGCATCACTGGCATGAGCTCAACCACATCAAGGAGTTTCTCGATCTTTTGCCGTTCGAGAGGTGTGTAGTCCTTCCTGCTTGGGCCTCTGCTGTGGAAGACCTCAAATACATCCAGCAATGCCAGGAAGGTTGGGCGAGTGAATAAGTGCGGCTGAACAAGAGTGAACAAAGGCCTGTAGTCTTCACACTTATCACGTGGGCGTTCATCCACGACGATGTCTGTGAGCGTCACATTGCCATCAGGTTGACTTTCAGCCATCTTGTCACTTCTGATGCTCTCCACAGTGGCTCGGCCATCATCTAAGACCCAGAGTTCGGAGTAGAGGCTCTTCTCACCCCCTCGGAAGGCCCGAGCCAACCTGGGCAAACGAAAGACCGAAACCGCCGTTCGAAGTAGAGGCCTTCTCAAGTTCTTCGAAGCCAAGCAACTATGCATCGTTCTGCCATCTTCAAGGATCAAAAACTCCCATCCTGAACACCTTCACCTCGCTTTTTGGGCCCCAAAAGAACTCAAAACCGGACCACCTCCAGCAGCTCAACAGCTAAACACGGCCCCAGCCACACGGCGTCCACCAGCAGTTCCGCCACCACCTCCACGTCCACCTCGCCCTCGCGTATCTCCTCCGCCGCCCGCGCCACCAACCGCCGCCGCAGCGCGGCGACGCCCCGGCCAACGGCTGCGAAGTCGCCACCTGGGTGGAGATGGGCGAGCAGGTGGCTGAGCAGGTGGAGAAGGTGGAGACGCCGTCTCGGAGTCTTTGACCACTTGGAGTGGGCGGGGTCGCCTCCAATAGAAACCCATGTGGATGCGGTGTGAGGGTGTGAAAGGTTCCTTTCAAAAAGAGGGATGCTCATGTTCAAACTATAGTCAAAACCAAACACCGCACACCAGGTCATTCTTCTCCAGGAGTTAACTCAGGTGGCAGGGTTTCAACATGTTTTGACCCAAGCCAATCATGTGTGGGTCCAAAGCTTTGAGAACCCCGAAAACTGCCCTTGGCATTGGGCATCCCTCAAAAGAAAACACAGCATGTACCGAATGCTGGATGGAAAGTGGCCGGGAAATTCATCCAATGCACCGAAGAAACCCGCTGTCGACCGCCGACCTGCGGCCGAATGAGTCAAGAACTGACTTTAAGACGGTTCGCATCGACGGGAGACCTTCGTTTTTACATCGACCGGAGACCGGCCTTTCGCCAAGACCTCGCTTTGGAGACACACGCGTGTCTCACACGGGTGAAAGTCACGGGGTTAAGGCTTCTTTAGCAAGATTGGTGCCACAGCCCCTTTGAAATAGGCCTGATGTGGCCAAGTGACTGGAGGAAAACTCCTTCATTCCCGCTTGCACGGCGGCAGTAATCTTTGCTGATGCCGCCTTGGCCTTTGGATCCAGGGTTTCAGAGCCTCTGGCAACGAATGCCAGGTGATGCCCCAAGGAGCTCCCACCCGCATCCTGCACTCTTGCCGCGTCAGACGGTGCATGAAGGTATGCCGTTCGGCTGCCCAGGGGTTTGGATGGCTTGTTCACCGATGTGGACCCACCTCAATGGGTATCAATGCCAAGAATTCTTCGAACCTTGGAAAGTCCCATGCTGATTGGGACCCGCAGGATGTGTCGTTGGATGCCCATCGCCCTCCCACCCCTTTGCTCATGTCAGTCAGTGGCTCCTTCTTCTTGCGCAAGATTCTGCGAATCTTCACGACGGTGGAGGCCGTCAGAAGTCCCACGGTGAGGCCACAAGAGAAGGAGCGAAGGCCAAGGCCGATCACATGGCACGCCAAGTCCTGCCGATCACATGGCACGGAAAACGGGACAACGAGGGTGCTTTTTAAACGAACGAACAGAACAACACTAAACACAACGTTGAGAGAAAAGCACCCAAGAAAATCTTCAACTCTTTCGGAGGATGATGCAGTTTCAGAATCATAGTGTGTATATATACATACATACATGTCGCATATAATATAAATATAATGTATATATATACTAATATATATATACTAAGATCATTCTTAAAAAAAATTTTGGAAACCTGGCTATCATTCTAAGTTTCAGTCCGTCGCTATATATATATATACTAATATATATATATATGTATATACACAGTATGTATATGTATTCACATCTTGCAGCCCTTTCAACTTTCTTCCTCGCCTTGGAGCGGACTTCACCCAAAGAAGCTCCACCCCGGAGGCGTCGTGAGACGCCGGCTTCGCCGCACCCCGACGGGCCCGTCCAGCCGCGAGAGAAGCCACCAGTCACCGTCGGAAGCATGGCATGCGCCGGATGGATCGGATCTTGGCCGATGATCGGATGCTAGATAGTTTTTCTTTTTGTTTTCTACAGTAATTCTTCCCATGCAGGCCCATGAGATGGCATCCACAAGTCAGGGTCCCATGTTGGGGGCCTACAACATGTTGGAGTTGCGTTGGAGAAAAAAGAATGGGTGAACATCTTGCTACATTGTGTGTTTTTCAAAGGCTCAACCACACACCCACCCGGTTGGGCGCCTCAGAGGCACCAGTTGTTGGGGAGCGGAGGGGCCTTGTTGAGCTTTAAAAATGCGGATCCGAAGCTCGGTGATGAAGGTGCCTTTCTTTGTCAAAGCTGGGTGTCAGTGGCCACGTATGGCCGAACAGGTTGAGGTTGTTGTCGTTGTTGTCGTTGTCGTTGTCGTTGTTGTTGTCGTTGTTGTTGACTGGGGAACAGAAAAAAGACCTCCCAAAACAGAGCTGAACACAAAGACGCTTATGGCTTATGGCTCGATGAGAGCTTGATGAGATGCATATAGCCCGAAAATATGCCCCTAATGGCCTCCCTAAAGAACCCAAGGCGGTATTGATATGGAATCACATAGGGCCACCAAATCTCGAGGATTTGTCCCCTTTTCTTCTTTTGTGGTTCCTTTCAATGAGGAAACTGAAAGTACTGCCGTCCGTGTCCTGAGCCGGCTGTGCCACCAAAAAAGGTCTGGCTGTGAACCAGAAAGCTGGCGGTCGACGGCATGCGAGGACATCGCTTCCGCGAGGACATATATACATGACAAGACAGCAACATGACAAGTCGTAATAAGTCATTCAAGCTTGAAATGAAGGAAGTGATGAGCCTCCAGCACTCAACTAGTGGTGGATTGGCAAGCGATTCAGCTATTGAAATCCAGGGTCCTTGTAGTCAGCTGTGCTAGTCTCTGTGGACCTTTCATACGTCAACAGCTTGTCTTTACACCTGCCAGACATTCAGCGACAAGTCATATGCGGAATGGCCGTGCTCCCTACACAATGCCCTCAGTCTGGCTGAATCATGCAATGTCTAGCTGAAAAGCTCTTCCTGCTGTGCTTTGATTGATGGTCCCACCTGGCACGAGTCTCTTCTATCTGCTCTTCCAGGCCCGAGCGCATCTGATGGTCTTCCTCAATGTTCTTGTTGCCTCGGCACGAAAGACAAACATCCCCCTTTCCGCTCCAACCAACATCCGACTTCGGCCAGCACCAGACTTCTGGACTTCTTCGGGTGGGATGGTGAGACTTCGGCCATGTCTGGGTCTAAATTCAAAACACACAGTTCTCATGCCATGCAACCACCCCAAATCTGTGGCAAGCAACGAATGAGCTCGAACTGAGACTGGTGATCTGTAATGTCAGCCTGAGAGCGACCGATCTTTGTGCAGGTGTTCCCATTTCTCGTTTGTGTCTTTCTCTCCTGTCCAAGATGTGCCAGTATGCTTTCAAGAAAGTGCCAGCGAATTGAATGGAGACGTTCAAAAGTGTAGCTCCAGTTGTTGAGTTCCACGCCATTTCTCGGTTCTTCTCCTCGCGCCTCAAAAAATGGTGAAAAATACCAGGACGATGCTCTTTCGTCCACGCCCTTGGCCCTACGCCTTGCCAAAGGGGAGACTTCTTGCTTTCTTGATCTAGGAAGTTGTTCAGCTCCCAGATTTTGGCAACTCTGCTTGTCAGTCGCGAGGAAGATAAGCAGAACTTGTGGGTGCGAAGCTTCCCGGAAGACACGGAAGCTCTCAAAACATGTGTATGTATTTATATATATATATATACATGCATATACATACGTCCTTCCAGGATGCAAACACTACAGTGGTGTACAGTGTACATTAATATCATGGATTTCACTTCAAACCATCAAATCGGAACAAAAAACTGTAACAACCCACCAACAAGGAAGACCCATGGTTGGAACCAAAAAGAACACACAGGATCCACCCAACTGCGAACCGTACACGATGCATGTTTGCTTTTCGACGGGTCAGTGAAATCCTCGTTACGAAGCACGAAGGATGATGCCAAGCAGCTCAACTTGTTCAACAATCAAGGCAAGCTCGCGTTTCTCGAGAGCATGCCTTTCCTGGCGCTGCCGAACCAAAAAAAGCATCGCTGTTGGTTGGAAACAGCATCACTGTTTCGAAAGAAAGCAGAACAAGCAAACCAAACAAAATCTGAGGGTTAGACCCCCAAATCATCCATTTCACATGTGGTTTCATCGTTTTCACCCTCCCGTTTTGGGAGTGCCCCCCCCCAATTAAAACAAAACTGCAAAAGAGCGAAACAAGCTGCTTGAACTTGCACCAAAAACAACGAACTTGAGGCCATCTCTGAGCGAAGGATCCCAACGTGTCTGACGTCTTCAGACGCACAACACGTCTTCAGACGTGCACGCGGAAACACACCGGCTCCCGGTGCTCCCGGGGCTCCCGGGGCTCCGGAATGTGCAAAGAGGAAGTTCATTGAAACTTGGGCACAAATCATCAACACACCAGCAATTCTGGCAGAACTCCTGGATGTGTTCTCGTTCAATTCTGAACTCCTGGCAGAGTTCGTTCGCATGGCAGGGGTTTAGGTGAACATCCAAATGCAAGTGTCAGAATGCCATATTCGCCGGTTTGATTGGGATGGCTTCTTCTTAGAACCCATCCAAGACTCCAAGTCCTCTTGAAGGGTTGCGACGTCTCGCTTGAACTTCTCGTCCAAAGCTAGAAGCCTGCAGAACATTGGAGCCAAGACCACGCTCTGTTTCAGGAACCAAAGACATGACGAGATATGCGACGCGCGGGTGCAGCAAGCTACCCTACCGCCCCGAAGCGTAAACGCTGCATATGTGTCGGTGTCCGATCCGACTGATCCAGTTGACGGACCCTGCACAGCCCTTCCCGTCACACCTGCTCTGCTGAATCTCATGTAATCGGTCCACATTGAGCAAGTGGCTTCTCACCGCAACTTGATGCTGCTCCTGGAGCCGATGATAGAGCAACCCTTAGATTCAACAAGTGACAAAAGTGCAGTTACGGCAGGAACCAATGCATCTCATGCATTGGTTACTTGAGAGCCCTGCCATGTTCTCAGACAGTTCAATCAAATCTATATTTAGCACAGGAAGTTGAAGCTTGGTACCTCAGAGAACTACTAAAACCATCAGCAAGCAAAATGGAAGACTCAAAATGGAAGACTCATACAAAATGTTTCAGAAGAGGAAATTGAGTCAGCGGTACTCATATTATGCACCCCCACAAACCCAGCAGCAGCTCGGCCTCAGCCTCATCCAGATCTCGATCCAACATTTGCAGGATCGCATCCTTTCCTTCGGAGTCCAAACAACTCGACAGCAGTTTCCATCATCTCGAAGCAATCTACAATCCTGATCGTGGGACATGATTAAAGAGTCTGTGCAGTATATACATCTATCCATCTATCTATCCATCCGTATCTACACATCTACATACAATTTACACATATAGTCATTTAATAGTCGGCAAGAATTGTTGTTGTGGGTGGCCCCAGACCCTGCCTCGGAAAGCGGCGTAAACAGCATAAACAGCACGACAGCAGCAGGACAACAGAAAGACCAGAGGGAGACATGAGGAAGACAACAGAGGGCAGGGAAGGAAAACAACACGAACACACCAAGAGGACAAAAGAAGGACAAGCTGTGACCGGACAACGCCAAAAAGAACAACAGGACAACATGAGGGGAGCACACCACGAGAACAAGACCAGAAGAAGAAGAAGAAAGGACAAGAGAAAGACAAGACGACGATGAAGAGGGACAATAGGAAACGCATTGAAGAACGTGAGGAGGCCAGGACGGCAAAGATTGTGATAAGACGAGAGGAGGAGGACATCCGGACAGGGCTCGCCGGCGCGGCCTGGCCGGCTTCTTTATCTTCTTTTCCTACGAGAGAATCCCGCAAGAAGAGGCCAACAGGAGGACAAGGAGAGGACATCGGCTTTTGGGGTTGCTTTCTGGAGTTGTCTTGCTAGTCTCACTGCTTTGTTGTGCATGCTCGCATGTTGTCATGCTGACATGCTGACACTCTGCCACGTGGGCATGCTGCGGTACTGCGGTCTTCGCGCTTGCTGGCTAACGGATTCCCACTAAGTGCCACACAAGGCTGGTGCATTTGCAATTGTTTTCTCGCGTTGGACCCTTTGATTGCGCTTGGGGACGGTGCTTCCCGCGCGCACACTGTCATGGCGTCATGTATACTCACTGCCACGCTGTCATCTGGACACCAGCAGAAGGACAACAAGGGGACAACAGGAGGACAAAGAGGACAACGGGAGGACACGAAGAGGACAACACGAGGAGAAGAAGAGGACGAGAGGAGAAGAAAGCAAAGGACAACAGGAGGACAAGGTCTGGAGACTGGCAGCCGCGGCCAAGGTGGTGTCAACAAGAGGACGACGGAGGTCAAAACCCAAACCAGCAGGTGGTCCCTTCTTCCTCCCCCGGGCACGTCGGGACGCGACGTCGCCGTTTCGGACGTCTCCCTCCGAGGGTGGAACCTTCGCAGGTCGTTCCACGAGGGCTCCGAGAAGCAACGAAGCAAACACCCCCGACAGTTCTGCTGTGATGGCAGTTCTGTGATGTTTTTTTGGGTGGACCATCGAACATGCAGCGGAGAACAGTCTCTTGCGCCAAATTCACCTAGCACCGACAAGAATGACAAGACAAGACTTACACTTTGAGGCAAAGATTTTCAGGCATCTAATCAAATCTCAAGGGAAAAAGCAAAACGCATGTCGATGTGGCCCATCACATACATTCATTCCTGTCGTATCCTTTTGGCTTCAACGAACACCTGGCCTTCACCGCGCGGTTTTCGTTGCACACCACTCCGCGCCGCGACTGAGTCTCCCAGCGGTCGACATCTCGCTCGTGGTTCTGGGAGATGATCTCTACCTGAAACCGATTCTGGGAGATGACCCCCAACTACGCACGTTTCTCGGCACTGAAACCTCGGCGCGTTTCTGAAACCCCCACCTTTTCAAGCACACACAGTGACAAGAAGGCGCCGATGGATGTGGCATCTGGTTTCTTTTCGCCGCCAGTGTCGGGGACACCACCCAACAATCGGTTTGAGAAACGCCTGAAAATGGCTTTCGGAAACCCCTGAACAGCCTGGTTTTGGTGCACCTCCGGCCTGCTTTTTCAGCTGCTTCGTTTTGGCCGAGCGCATAATCTTGAGCCAACTTTCTTGGATCCTCAGCACTGGCGCAAGGGGAGGTGATCAACCGAAAAGTAAAAATACAAGGATGGTGACCAAGCTGACCAAGCTAAATACAGGCGCGGCGTTAAGCTCAAAGCAGGAGTGCTGCAAAAGAGTTGTTTCAACATGTTTTGACTGATTCACATGGTTCATGCACAACATTCCAGCCATGTCACCGGCTCATGTTGTACTTGGTATTTCTCACCTGGCCGCAAGGACTATGAACACAGTGTAACGGTGGCTGCGCTTCGAATGGCTGTTGTAGTTCTTCCTAATCTTTCTACATGTCCTGCATGATTCCTTGATTGCATTTCAGAGTCCAATCAGCTGAGCTTGCGCTGTCCAGACCACTGCGCAAGCTCACGCGTCCCGGTACCGAACCGCTGCTCCAACCGCCGAACCGCTGCGGTCGACCGTTATTTAAAAAAAAAAAAAACTTGCATATGGTAAGGCCAGAATCCTTGATTTAAAAAAAGGCGAAGAAAAGAAGGTAAAAAAGTCAACTGGAAAAGTCAAAATCAAAAAAAACAGGTTGAAAAGTCAGAAAAAGATACAAAAAAATCAAAAAATGACCAAAAAAAAGTCAACCATAGACCACAGCTCGAAGAAGTCAAAAAATGAAGTCAAAAAAAAGTTGAAAAAAGTCTCTAAAAAAGAAAAAAGTCAACAAAATAAACAAAATAAAAAAAAGTTTTTAAAAAGTCAAATTCAAAAACAACTCGAAAAAGTCGAATAAAAAAGTCAAAAAAGAAAGTCAAAAAAAAGTCAACCACTCGAAAAAAAAACAAGAATAAAAAGTCGAAAAAGAATCGAAACAATAAATACAGTCGAAAAAAGAAGAAAAAAAAACGTCGAAACACATGTCAAAAAAAGGTATAAAGAAAGTCGATTTAAAATAGAAAAAAACCGTCGAAACACATGTCAAAAAAGTCGATTATTTGTTTAAGTCAGAGCTGTGCAAATTGACCTTTTTTTGACTGTCTGAAATTTTCTGATGTTACTTCTTTTTGACTTTGACTTTTGGGATTGACTTCTTTTGACTGTTTTAATTTTTTTAGAAAACAGGCTCTTTCCAATGAAAGTGTTTTATAAGTCGACCGGTCCCGCAGCGGCGGCAAGCGGCGGCAAGCGGATGGGGCGGATTTGGGCACCTCCAACTGTGTATCCTTCTGGAGCTTATGTCTCTGCTGCATGAGCATGAATTGCTCCTGACCGCACATGAAACAGTGATATGGTTCGTCGTACCAACGGAGCATGGGAGACTGCAAATGATCAAAAGCTGTGAAGCTCCGGTGAGCATGACGAGTGCGAAACAGGTCACGAGTGCGAAAGAGAATGGAGCACACCTCACTTGAACAAAAGAGCTACCATAGACACCATCATAAAAAAGGAACCGGAAATATATGAAACTACGTGTCTTTGTCTATCAAATTGAAGACTTTTTTACGGCTCCCAACTTCTCACTGGCTCATAAAATGGTGAGCCATACAGCCCTCTTGTCATGCAGGTCCTTGTCATACTCCTCCATTTCTTTTGCTCGAGTACCGGTTCCTTGCAAAGCAGATCAGCATCCATTTTGAGAATCTGCCTTACATAAAACCCTATCAGCTATCACTATGCCTGATTGTCAGTTAACCTACCAGCGTCCAATGCCCATGAGTCTCGATATGTCTCAATCTCATTCGGTTCTTATCCGCCCAGCAGCGCACTCAACGCTCTTTCAGGGATCACTGTTTTTCGGCCCATCCGAGTCCACTGGGGGGTTGCACATTAGACAAATTGAAAATCCTTAGCGTTTGAACGCCCAGGACTTTGGTGACTCACGAGGCAGTGGGGTCAACCTCTGAAAAACTCTGAGCAAACTCAAACAGCCTGCTTCGTGACGGCCACACTCTGTTTCACAAGACGTTCACAATGAAATGACAAATCCCAGGTCTGGATGCCAAGCAGCATGGGCCTCCGGATTCCATCTCGGCACAGTTTCACTGTCAAGATAGCCCTGGATAATGCTCCAGGCATAGGCTTGCAATTTGGCTTCTGCCTGCAGCTGAGCCTGCATGTCTGGACCTCCAGCAATGAAAATCTCTTCAATCCTTTCTTTGATCTTATCTCGGGTCTGTTTCCTTGGACGAGGTGCTGACCGCACGGGATGCTCCAAATGGCAGTAGGCACAAAGACTGCCCGTTGCGCAACCTCTCTTGGAGGTAAAGAAAACGCACGGCTCACACTCCCCATCCATGTGCTCCTGGCTGACTTCGGCGGCTGGACCCGCTGGCTCCGGAGTCGGCTCCCGAGCCGACTCCGCAGCCGGTCCCGCCTCCGACGGTGGCATGGCCACATCACTTCGGGCCTGCTCAACCTCGACGCAAGGGACATCTGCATCGAGGTCATCCGCAGGAAGGCCAAGCCACACAGAAGCAGAAGAAACATTGCCCAGGTCACTCTGAAAAGGCTCAAAATTGCTCATGGCCGCGCCAGGTATGCATCTGTGAAGCAAAAGCTCGGAAAAGCCCGGCAACCTGCTGAAATCGCCAACGGGGGGAAATGAAATGCTTGAGCCAGAAGTTCCGGCCAGAAGTTGGCATCATTGGCAACCTCATGAAATGACCAAGTGCTGCTCATTCACCTCCAGTTTCAACAAAAGCAAGCAACCGCCTGCTTTCGGAGGCATGGCAGGCAAACCTCATTGCTCATTGGCACACATCGGACTCCAAAACACTCGGACGTCTCAGCTCTCAACGCCTGAGAGCCTCACCGATCCGCCCCGGGGGGCCACCCGAGAGACGTCGAGAGACGGACGCGTTTGAGCGGGGCGAACTCGCGAAAGGCGAACGCGTCGTCGCGTCGTCAAGGCGTGGGGAATCGTTCTGCCGAACTCGTGACCCGCAAAGAATGAAGCGTCATCATGGCAGGGTGAAACAAGGAAATGGAGAACTGCAGCTTTGGTTTCTGAGGTCAAAAACCAGTGGGAAAAAAAGAAAACCTCGTTCAGCTGTTCATTGTTCAAGTCTTCGATACCAAGGGCTTGCATGTTTTGCAATGCCTTGGTGGGCGCGCCCGGCTCTTTTTTCCAGCTCTCTTCATGGACCCGATCTGCTCAAAGTCCCAGCCAGTCCTGACCAAGCGACAGGACTGGATCGTCGGCCGACTGATTGAAAAAAGGCTCTCGGCAATTTGGCATCGAAGCTCTTCTCATGCCATTGATAAAAACAGATCCGAAACATGTGATTTTCGCAGACCGCAGCAGACTGAGTCGTAGACAGCAGACGAACGAAGGCGATGAGTCACGACACCATGAAAGGTTGAACACATCCCTTTCATGTTCGAGGAATCCGTTCATGTTCGGTGGGAAAAACCAGGGTCTCCCTGTTTTGACCCACAGAGCACATCAAACCAGCTCAGCTTGGTGGAGTGACTGAGTGGGCGAAGTGGACAAGGGTGCGGAGCCTTCTGGACCGTGGACCGTGGCCCCGGACAGAAGGGTGTTTCGCAACAGAACGCTTTGTGTCCCAGAACTGTTTGTCAATCGTCTCAAAAATCGGTCGGTGGAACATTTTTTGGTCTTGACATACCAAAAAAAGAAATTGGGTCCCTCCCACAGAAGACCAAGCCAATTAGACCAAGCAAAACTCTTAGATCCCTTAGACTCTACATGTCTGGCTGTGGGAGAACCAAGCGAATATACCAAGCCAATAGGCCAATCTCTAAGACATGTCCAAACCCTTAGACCAAGCAAGTTTGGACATGACACATCCTGAAACCGTTTCGTACCTCGTCATCCCAACTCCAGCGCCACGCTGTTGCTGTTGGAGTCGAGGGACGCTGCCGAAGAGCTCCGGACTCGCAAAGGAGAAGGCGTTGGAGTCGATTGGCCAGGACTCGGCGTGGGTCCTGGTCAATTCCACGTCAAGATGTGCATTTGGAGAGGGAGATCCCCTGGGCCGCCTGGCTGGGTAGACGGGTCTAGTGTCCTTCTTTCTTGGGTTTGAATTGGGAGGTCTCCCTATTATTTAATGTATATATATATATACTGTAATACACAAATCCACAGGTTCAGTGTTGTGTCACTGACCCTGTCACATGGTCATCTCGATGGTCGGCTATGCCAGGAAGCATGGCACCTGGCCATATCGAACGAGAGATGGAATCCTCAGGGTCCGGTCTTGCAGGGACTGGTCTGCAGGGCTCCTTTATCGTACCCAGCGCATGCTCTGCGAACGGCGTGGGGACTGCTGGGTATGGCACCCACTTCTGTGGAGTCATTAGGCTTCAGCTGGTCTCGCAAGGTAGCATGTGTGTTAGATCTGTACAAGAAGGGAAATAGACCAGGTCTCCCTATGTTCAACTACATGCACACCCAAATCCCTGCCTACCATTGGCGCAGAACTCGACGTTCCCAGCCGGTCGGTCGACATCCAAAAAGACCCCAGCGAGCTAAGCGCTCGCTGGAGCGTTCGACTTCGGCTCGGCCTGATTCAGCTCAGGTCTCGCTTCGTGGCCCGGCATCGATCCATCAGATCCAATCTCTGCTTGCATTTAGAACAGCTCGGCTCTAGGCGGCGGGCTACGCCTCTACTCTGCTGCTGTTGAAGAACGTTAAATCAGGCCAAACCCTAACTCTGTTGAGCGCTTCTTTCCGCTTTGAAGTCCAGCTCCTCATCTGCAGCACCAGCAGCGATGGCATTGACACATGCCCTTGAATCAGGCCGTCCCCAAACGCCACAAAGAAGTCTGCAGCCGAGGCGATCGCCATTTCCACCTCGTGTTGTGCCACGAAAACCAAGTACATGTTGACAGATGAACATATCATGTGCCCAACAAGCAAGACAAATGGTGTTGCCTCCATAACCCTCTGGTGAAAGGATGCCGTGAAAGCGGCCAAACGGCCTGCAGTACTATGCAGTACTATGCAGTCCTCCAGGTCTCTTCTTCCAAATCCAAATGATCTTGGTTCTGCTGCTGGTTCGGCTGCCCAGGCACACACAGCTGTCGCAGATTGTTCTCTTGACCCGGAAGAAATGGGGCCTGTAGAAGCCTTGGCGGCGAACGAGAACAGCAGGCTGTTCAGAGTGTTCACAACATGTGGTCTCCACATGGCAGGATTCGCAAAAAACTCGAGCGTGGCTGCTAGGTACAGACTAGAGTTACCTTGAAACCTGTCTCATTCTCATCATGAAGCGTCCATTCTGTCTAGCCAGCCCTGGGTGCCCACTCTCAGCTGTCCCATTCAGCTCATCCCTCAGCTTCGCCACGGCCTCCGCTGAACTCTTTTCGGAAAGCGGTCTGATCCTCAAAGTGGATCACAAAACGATCAGCAACAAATCTTCTCTGTCGTACTGGGGGAACCCAAGGCCGTGAGGCTTTTGCATAGAAACTTGCATCCATCAGGGGACCTGGAAAACAGAAACTCACTCTGCCCTACTGGATGACGCGCGCGCGCGCCAAAAAAGCTGTCTCGCTCCCACACCGCCTCACTTCCTGGCGCTGCATTGCTCATCAGAAATAACCTGGCCAAAAAGGAGGGGCCTCCGAGACCCGACTCGAGAGCTCAGAACGAACCCGACTCGAACCTCGAACGAGCCCACAGGTTCGTGAAAGAGTCTCCACGAGTCTCCACGAGTCTCCACGAGTCTCCCAGCGGGAGTCACCCCGTGGTCTCCGTGTGATGTTCGTGTCTCCCGGTTGTCTCGTTTTCAGAGGACTTCGATGCAAAGGGTTGTTGGCCAAAAGAAAAAGAACACTTTGGCCAGAACTCGGTTCCACGTTCCACACGAGCACGCGACACCAGAATATGCTGCTGCAGAAGCCGTCGGTGGCTGTCACCACCCACCCGGTCCCACGTTCATCTCCGATTGGTCCGGCCTCTGGAGCTTCGTCTCTTGCAGGAAGGACTTGAGCCGCAGCGCAAAGGCTCCGGGCTCGGCCAACTGGGCCTGAGGATGCCGAGGCGAGAAGGATGGGAGCAAGGGGGGAGGATGCGAAGAGAAAAAATCACCTAACAAACACCAGTTCTGTCTCAGGATGGGGAGGGAATCACCTGCAATGGGTGAAACACCAAACACGAGAAAGAAGACATTCACCCAGGCACAATGAACACAGCGAGCTCGCTGGGCAAGACCTCGAACCCGGTGTACCAGGGAAAACCCGGTCGAATGGCGGGAATCCCCCAGCGGACTCGTCCGTGCGTCGTAGACGGTTGTCCGCGCGAAGAAGAGTGCAGACAGTTCTGGGGGCGGTCTGAACTGGACTTGTGGGGAACGGATCCGTATACGGGAGGTTCTCAGTCTCTGGTTCTCGGAAGCTGAGGAGCTGAACAAAGAATCAGAATTGGAGTCATCACTTGGGAAGGTGTGATTGTGTGAAGGAGTTTGAAGGCGTCTTGCGGTGGAAAGTGATCGCCCCAAGTCAAACCATCAAAAAGCGTCCTTGCAGGCCAATCAAGGGGAAAACCAGACGTCAAAATCTCCCAAACCCGTATATACTTGCTGCATATTGAAGCTGCCTGGTTGCGACTGATCTTGACCAAAGACTGTTGCCAGCTTTCATCCAGCCCAAGTCTTGATAGTTCCTTCAATCCAACTCTCACCCGCCACCCGCGATAGTTAGAAATCCAACTCCTCCATCTCCACCACCTCTCTCCAGCTGCACGAGTTGTCTGCTGTTTACGACCAGACCGGACCCGACCAGACTCACCGGCCTGCTCCAGCTTGCGAGGGTGTGGCCCCAGGAACCAGTCGCCCTGGCGACTAACGGGGGGAGTCCCACCAATGGTCCAAAGGTCACGGACCAGGAACAGGTCGAAATACTGAGTTTTGGGTACGACAGACGAAGGACGACGCTTGTTTTCCCAAGCTTTGGCAAAAAGCCGGCGTGCAATTGGTGCATTCAAGGTTTCACACTGGCCGAATCTCTCCAAATCGTGGCTGCAGGTGCCTATTGATGTTAGAGTGGCTCGGAAAGGAAGCCCTAGCAAAGAAAAGCCTGGCTCAGAAACTGCCAGCCCCTCAAGAGGAGCGCGAACAACAACTGCTGCCGACAGAAATTGGAAAAGCAGCCCAATAGAAGTCGGAGATCAGCCCCCATTCTAACCCTGCTCTGCTTTCATCGCTGCCACGGCTTCCAAGCTGCTTTTTCTGGTACAGCTCCCCACCTTGCGCCAGTGCACGGCCAAAAAGGCTCCGGCGCGGCTCTGCGTCCTGGAGAGCGGAAAGCACGCTTCACTTCCCGCCCGCTCTCCCGTGTTCGGTGGGCGGTTGGGCTCCCCCCCCAACCTCAGCCGTGCAGCTGGGGTCCAATTCGGCGGTTTCTTCGGGCACCGGAACGGACCAAAAGCTCCGGGCGTCGACCTCGAGACCGAAGACTGGTCCGTCCGATGCGGCGACCCAACCAAAGCCCCCGGTTTTCTCTGAGTCACAGCGGGTCCAGTCTCACTGGATTCCATGGATCGACGCAAAAACACACAGGGTAGGTTGGGTAAGCCCCAAGTCCAAAGCATACCAGTATATAAACAAGATGGAGCCCAAGAACCCGAATGCAAACACGTTCAAAATGCTATATATGTCCAAATGACACTCCTGTAGGACACTCTTGTGGGACACTCTTGTGGGTCACTCTTGTAGGAAACTCTTGTGGGACACTCTTACGGGACACTCTTGTGGGACACTCTTGTGG